CCTGCCCTTTAGGAAGGTCAGGTATTTAGTGTTCACACTTCTCCCTATGTAGGTCTTTTGTCCTTTTCCCTAGCTACTGGTAAGAAAACAACAACAACAACAACAAACAACAACAACAAATGGGAAGATAGACTGGCCCTTGTCTAATACTGTACTTGGTACAGAGAAGGCATTCAATAAATGTTTCCTAAATGAATGGGGGGGGGGTAACATATTGTTCTGTTGTAGTTAGGGGTTAAGAAAAAAGTCTATTTTTTCTTATTCATTGCCCAAATAAAAACAATCTAGCTATGAACCTCAATGCCTACATTTGAATGCTACAGGTCAACGCTAAAAATGAAAAAGCAGATGAGAAAGTGTCTTGTGGATTTCTATATGAACATACGTTCTAAGTGGTGTTGAAATTAGTGAATGTGCTGAGTGTTCTCCAGTGGAGCTGTTGTGCAGTAGTTTGGAGGAGTTATTTTAGGACTTTGCCAAATGGGGAAACCAAAGAGAAGAGTCAAGGGAAAATACTTCCCCAACCCCCTTTTGAAGGCCTATGAAAACCAGCAGCTGTGGGGAGAATACTTTGTTCCAGGACTCTTAAGACCTTCTTATTCAACTAGTTGATAGGTAAAATACATAATTCTCCATGTGATATTAGGCAAGGTATGATTTAACAGCAATGCCCATTCATTACAGGTTCCAAGGTGATGTTTGATGGTTTTAAATAGGTAGCGTCATGCCATATTGCACAATGGAAAATCTATTTTCAGTACAGATTCCAAGCAGGAAGCCACATTTCTCATCAAAAGGTGTTTAAGATGCATCTCCCACAGCCAGGATACTGACACAGTGCTGATTAGTCTAGAAAGGACGTACACCTACACATCCCCTAAATATCTTGCCACTGACAGAGGACTCAGGGTAGAGAGACAGGGACCTATAATACCCACAGCCAAAGACTGGCAGGAAGGCGGACGGCTAACACAGAAAGTCATGAATGAAAATTGGCCAGTAGACCTGTTACTTTACAACTGCACTTGAGCAGTTGTAAAATAGAGAATGAAGAATTTGGTAAGAGTTCCAAAAAAGTAGACTTGCAAAAACAGCACAAAGCAAGACAATGTGGGGCAAACAAACAAACAAACAACAACAAAACAAGAGTCCCCAGATGTGAAATCAAAACATAATTTGAACTTGGGGCTGGGTTGTGGCCCAGTGGTAGAGCGCTTGTCTCGCATGTGTGGAGAACTGGGTTCGATCCTCAGCACCACAAAAGTAAATAAAATAAAGGTATTGTCCCTATCTACAACTAAAAAAAGTCTTTAAGTTAAAAAAAACATAATTTGAACTTAAAAATATTTCCTAGGCCATCTTGATCGGGGCCAAACTAGTTCTTTAGAGAGGATGTCCTGGAGATTGCTATGAGAACTTCTATGTGTCTTTTAGAATTTATCATCTTATCATATGCACATTTGCACATGCATGTCTATATACATGTCTGTACACATATTTACTTATGCATACTGAGCTATACATACACTTCTTATAGAAAAGGCATTTATTAATTTTAATAGACACTGTTGTTGCCTTCATAAAGTTCCAAGTTTAAAACTCTTTTTACACTATCATATCTGTCTACTTTTTTCCATCTCTCTCACCTATTTATCTATATCCAAATATCTTCAAGCCAAATGAGCCCTATTTGTTATGACTATGAATACTTCAATTCTCAGAGTGGCCAAAGTCACACGGGTACTATTTTTCACAGAATTCTGACATACTGAATATGACTGAACATGTGACACCAAACACAAGAATAAAATCATGATTAACAGTTGCATAAGGAAAATGTGGTAAGGAGTGAGACCAGAGCAATGCAGGATTTGGGAGGAAAGTGGTATCAGTTTCCCAAAGACCTTATTACACTCCCCACCCTATATACTCCAGAAGGGATCTTCTTGACACCCTTTAGCATAAGAGGCAGAAGAAATGTTAAGTGAGGCAACAGATGAGGGTTCATTCCCTCTTCTACCTCCATGGACAAATGATTCACCCTCCTGAGTGTCACTTTCATCATTTTTATAGACAGAGATATCAGTCCAGGGCAGCTTGAGGTTCAAATGTGATGAGTGTGCACAGTTCTAGAAGGCACACAGCTGGCACAAAGTAGGTGACTAATGCATTTAGTGTGGTTTAGTCAATAACTGAACTCAAGTTGCTATATAATTGATTCATTGAGATTTCAAAGCAGTTATGAATACAGTTAAAATTTCTTAAACATAGTTTGGATCCTTTTTTTTCTTTTTTCAATCAGAAAAATACAGAAAGAATTTCTTTACTGTTTTGTTCAGAAATTCCCCCATTTGCAGCTCTTGAGTAAGAATGTCGAGGAGGTTCAGGGTACAGCTCGGTGGTGGAGTGTTTGCCTAGCATGCATGATATGGAGCACCACACACACACAGGAAAAAGGCTGGGAGGTTTGTTACTTTATAAATTCTATTTTTAATCTTTAACCTTTACAGAAGCTTATACCTCTGAACATTTACTCCTCAAATTTTATCACTCTTTCAAGAAAGAGTATCCTTTTCTCTATGATTTTAGATTTTTTAGATCTATTTTCTGAGGTTTGTTCTATATGCAGTATTAATTTGAGCATCTGTCTCCCTGTTTGTAAGTTTTTCATATGGTTGGTTGGCAGATTCCTCAGCAGTTGTGATTTTTCAAATTTATATCCCCCAAAGCTTTTAGTAGAATAGTGGGCAGATAGTAAATGTTCAAACTTGATTTGCTAGGTGGACTTAATTTTTAAAAATCTCATCCTCAGAGAGCTGAGCCAGGACAGGCCATAAACACAATGAGTTTGTGGGTCATCTACCTCTTGTCGGACTCTGAGACATCACATGCAATCCTCATAGGTTATAACAAAAAGGTACAACTCTGACTCATTACTGTGGAATTTCAAAAAGCCTGTCCTACTGTCACCTGTCCTAACTTGAAGATTCTTCATTTCTAAGCCCTGTTTCATGGAGAGGCCTGGAATGTAGCCTTCATGAGATAAGAGTATCATTTTTCTTCAGATGCTATCAATGAAGTTAAAATAATTCATTAAGGTATACCAAAGCCTAACCTCCATCAAGGACAGAAGGAGGAACTGGATTTATCTGCAATGGTTCCTCGTGTGAATAAATGTTTACTGAAGTGAGTAAGCAGGACAGTTCCATCTAAAACTTGGAGAGGGGACAGGAGAAGAAACAGACCAAAAAAGCAAGAAGGAGATGGCTCTCCTTTTCAGTGGTCCCTTTAAATCCAGAGCCCGAGGGTCTGCACTCCAGCTCCAGGCGTGGCACAAGGCAGGAGCTGGAGGTCAAGGCACCCTCCTTGATGGAGAGCCAGGCTGTCACTCACCCCTGAACTGCACCGAGCACAGAGCCTAAAACATCTGCTGCTCTGTGTGATCATCCTCTTCAGGAATGGTTTATTATCAAGCTAAAATAGGGCCAAGTCAAAACAGGATGGTTCAGTTCCAAAAATAGTATCCTGGGCTTGGATCTGCTCTTCATTATTAACCACCTGTTAGTGGTTCAAGGCACCACTCCATGCCTATTACCCTTAGCTTCCTCTCTGAAAAAAGAGGATGTTAAATCTCTTTTTTTTAATTAAAAAAATCTTTATTTCTCTCTCTTTTTTTCTTTAAAATCCTTTCATCTTGGGCTAGGGTCGTAGCTCAGTGGTAGAGCACTTGCCTCGCACATGTGAGGTACTAGGTTTGATTCTTAGCATCACATATAAATAAAGATCCATTGAAAACTAAAAAAAAAATATTAAAAAATCCTTTCATCTTATCTCCTTTCATTTAAGTGAATTTCAGTTGAATTATTTCCCATGGGAAATATAATGAATTCTCTTTCTTTTCTGGGATTTCATAATGGAATTAACCATCAACACATTTCTAAAGACGGCGGAGAAAAGATAAATTAATTCTTATGAAACATTCCTTATAAACTAAACTTTTCACATTTATTTCATTCTTGCAAAAGTATTATGAAGTAGAAATTTTCTCTACTTTACAGTTAAGGGAGTTGTGGCTTAGAGAAGTCTAGTAATAAGCCTAAAGCCACAGAGCAGGTAGGAGCTAGGTGGTACCAGGCATGGCTCTCAGGGTCTACATGAAGGAAAAGCTCAGGTTCCCCCTAGGCCTGATGCCAGGAGTACTTTCCGAGGTACAGAAGGTAGTAGGTGCCCCATTTCAACAGATGGACAGACTACTGAGGACAGAAGGCTTCCTCAATTTTGTAGTAAATCAGCATTTTGATGACAGAAAGAAATCACACTTGTTTATAAAACAGAGTCTAAGTTCAGGCTGGTGACAAATTGTAGGAAAATAGCCTTTCATATGATAACTTGATTTCTATTTGATTCCAGCATTGGCACTTCAGAGTTTTTAAATGGTGAAATATGACAAATTGAGTTTGTTGTGTTTATAAATTTTTTATTAAATTCTAGTAATACATTTGATATTGTTCAGCTTTATCGAGGTGCACCTGACAATAAAATTGTATGTACATAAGGTATGCTTATATGATGACTTCATTAAGAGTATTTTTCTAAATGATGCATCCAGTTCCCCAACACACTGCTTCACTGTCCATGACATCTGTCGTATTATAAACTTTTATTTCAAACTTTATTTCTTCTTATAAAAGTAATTTTCTCCACTGGAAATGATTAGGAAGGCTTCCCCAGCTGGGCATAGACCACAGCACACTGTAGCCAGCACTACACTTCCTCATGCTTCAGGAAAGATTTTCCTCTGAACTTCCCTTGTACATCTTCCCCCCCCCCCCCCCCCCCGTGTTTGTGTTGGCTGTAAGCCTTTCAGTCCTTGCGTGTATTTGGCCAGGTGCCGAATGAGAGTCAGTCAGCACTTAGCCTGGAAGTATCGTTTTCCAACACTGACAGAAGGAAAACTCCGCCTCCCACACCCACTTCTAATTACCATAATGCTACAAAACATGACATTGCATCGTTCACCCATCACTTGTGAGTGTCTACTTTTCACAGCTCTCATTTCTCCAGAAAAGGATTTTGAGCCACATGGAGAACATGCCTTTAAGCTACCCAGGTCCCCAGGGAGCACAGAGATGGTCCTATAAGCGATGGCTCCTCTGCTCAGCAATACTTCTGACGGTTTGCTCTTTCAGTGCACTAATCCTTCCTTTTCTCCCACTCAAGGTAAGGAGGAAGCAGAACCTGAGATGACTGTTTATTAGGATCCTTTACTTGTTTGTTAGTCTAGTTATTTTCATTACTCCTCAGTATTGTAGAGATAATTGGAAGGAAGAGACCTGTGAGTGCAAATAGAGTAAATATAATCTTGATCTTATAATGGCATGGTTTTTGGAGCTTATTTGTGTGTTTTGAGACAAAGGTATCAGGAAGTGCTAAATGTTAGCTGCAGAACTGAGCTAGATGTAAAAGATAATTGATTGAGTCAACGGATTGGCAAATGCCTGTGGAGTATGTTTTGCCTTTCTGGAACTCTGCTATACCTTCTTTAGAGGACAAACAAAGGCATAAAACATGGTGCCTTTCCCCAGGAAATTGTAGGCAAGCTACAATCTTGTAGAGGGAAAAGATTCCCGAAGATAATAGAGGGCAGAAAAAGGTAAGTTACATGTGGTTAGCATGTCTTTGAGAGAGGAAATAGCACTGATCCAGGAGTAAAAAAAAAATATGGATTCTGGTTCCAGGTCTCTCAATAATCAGCTATTTAAATTTGAGAAAATCATTTAATCTCTCTGGTTCTTTGCTTTTTCATCTGAAAAACAGTGGTAGGGGAATGGATTTGTTATTTTAATGTTGCTGCTTGCTATAAAATAGAATGATCAATAATTTATCTAACATCGGTATGTACACAAAGCTTTAGTAATTCAAAAGTGGGTGCAGACTTTGGGTTGGAGTAATCCAGGAAGGCTTCATGGAAGAAGGAGGAAGTAAGTGCCTATCTGGGAAGCCCCTGATGCTGATCAGGAATTTCCCACTGAGCTGCAGTGCAAGATGTGGGACCAGAGAATGGGATTGTCCATGGGAATGGAGATAAGTTAGCTTCTTTACTAGAAGATTTTCTCTGATGACTGTTACCAAAAAGAAAATAGGAAACATTATATAATTCAGGAGTGAACCCATTTGGGGGTACATCTGAAGACTGTACCTTGGGTATATGCCCTTCTTAAGGAAGAGCTGGGGTGTGACTACAGAAACATTTTTCTAAAGGTACTGACAAGAAGATTTCAAAGATGTGGTCCTACTACATCAGAGGCACTCCTAATCACAGACCTTCTCTCTCAGGGATGTATCAAAAATATGTGTGGACTTTCTAGAGCAATGAAGTTTGAACAGAAAGAAAAGAATTGCCAGAATTTCTGAGCATTTAGGTTTCTGAAGAAGAGGAATGATGAGAATAGCAATAACTTCCATTTAGAAAGGCTTCCTTCTGAAACTTCAAGTTTTATTAGGCAGATGGCTCTGAAGAACATTGAATGTAGGTGTCACCATGACTAGAATGGGAGGGAAATACCTTCTCAAAGGACACCTCTTGCCAGAATCAAACTTGGTTAATCCACATTTTTCAACTATGATTCTAGATCCTCTCTCCTAAAGAACATGAAGCTTTTCAATGAAAAGATAGTCCAGAGTTTGTTCAAATTTAGGAAAATGTGACAGGATGCTTAGAAGGCTAGTTTCTCTGATGAGCCTCCACTTTCCACCTGCCTGCACCTCCCTTTCCCTTTTGGCCATTAATAAACTTCTTTGGAGAGGAGATCTGAGTGGCTGGCAGACGATGAGTCATTGTGAGGCAGCCACTTCCACCTTCTCATGGACCCAGAAGTTTTATTTTGTTTTGTTCTCCACTCAATTTTTATATACAAATCCCCACTTTTACAAATGTTAGATGGGAAGTTTGGCTCATTTTACACCAATAGATATTTCCTTGGGAGAAAAAAACAAATCATTTCCTCTCTTGAAAGATTCATTTAACTAAATGGTTAACTAAAAGGATAGGCTTGAGCTCAAGGAGTGTGGTCAATCTCCAGAGAACATAACCTCACATAAGTAAGTTGTCTCTAAGAAACCAAATGTTCAGTAAAGTCCCCTGTTACAGTGAAATAAAGGACACTTCCAGAAGGGGAAGCTATACTTGCACTCAAGTGATGATCTGCCTAGGGTTGCTTCAAAAAAAGAATTGAGTTTTTGCCATTTTGAGCTCAACTATTTAAGTCTAGGCTTAAACTAAAGTAAGGTTACAAGAACAACTGATCCTTCTAAGCAAAAACAAGTGAAACTGGAAGTCCCATGCCCTTCTTTATAAGTGGGTACTTACTCCTTTCAAACATCATCAGAATTATAAATAGAAACTGCCCCACAGGTAGTCCTGTGGAGTTCTGAATAAGACAAGCTGGGTTTGGATCTAAGCCTTGCCTCTTACAGTCTCCTGACCTTGGGCTAGTTACTGAATTAGGCGTCTCCTCATTGCCTCATTTGTAAAGGATCATGCCAATTCTTACAGAGTTGCTTTAAGGACTAATGAGATAGGACAGTGCCTGACAAGCTTGACAAGTGCTATGCTCTCAACAGATGGCGATTAGTGTTTGCAACATTACCATTAGTGAGATTACAATGAATGTAAACTTAACAAAATCTTTTAACAATATGGATATTCTTTCCCAATTTATCTCTTCCTCAAAGGCCATACCTTTCAGCCAACCTGATAATTTTTCAATTAGACTTCATTTATGGCAATAATTACAGAAAACCACAGTGGCAATTTCTATAGCTCTATATAGTAAAATCTAGATATTAAAGCAGCTTGCAATACAGTATCTGTAGTTTCTGGCTCTGGCAATTCATACAACCACGGTCTTGAATTTTCTCTATACTTTTTATACACTGTGGTGCCTGGCATGAGATCTATGGAATGTATCTTGGCACTCATTTATACTTATATTGTTACCTAATTGCTTTGTGTGTATGTAATCATGTCTTTCTAGAAAGATTATAAACTTTTTTTTTTTTGGTACTAGGGATTGAACCCAGGGGCATTTAAACACTGAGCACATCCCCAGGCCATTTTTTATATTTTATTTAGAGACAGGGCCTCACTAAGTTGCTGAGGCTGACTTTGAACTTGCAATCCTCCTGCCTCAGCCTCCCAACCACTGGGATTACAGGCGTGTGCCACCCCAGCCATCTGAAAGATCATAAACTTCTTAAGAACATTAAATTGATCTCTTTAGCTTTCAATGCTATTGTAAGCTGTAATGATGTTGGGAATTTAGTACTTAAATTTTTGTCAATTCTTCATTATAATCAGCATCATTACCAAAATAGCTAATATTTATTGAACAGGTTCAAGCAGGTTATATGGGAAAGCCCTTCACAAGAATTACCTCATTTAACCCCAACAACAACTTCAATGAGCTTTGTGCTATTATTTTCCAGATGAGGAAGTTGGGTTCAGAGAAGCTCTGTCACATGCTTATCAGGGGTTGATCTAAACTGAATTTCAACTTCTCTCCTAAGACCACCAATATGAGGAGAAAAAAATTACAAGAACAAAATCAGTGACAGGGAATCCAGTGATTTATTTCTTAGAACGGTGGCTTCCAGACTTTTCTACTCTACTTCCTTCTCAATAAAATGTTCTCATTATACTTTCCAACATATGTATGCTAACTGGGATTTCAGTTTTGCTCTAGAAGCAGCCTAAAATTTCCTGGTCCATTCATCCTTTCCACTGGACTTGGATTCTCTTCAGACATCAAACATCTGTTCCCATTCTCACACTCAGCTGACAGTTTTGCCTTGAGGTTTCAAGAGGAAACAGGAGTGTGAGGGAAGAAGACTCAGAGCCACCCGTCTACCTCTTGTGTCCTTGAATACTGCTTCTGTCCTGACTTGGCACCAGCCTCTTTGACTTGGCACCAGCCAGGCTCCACCCAGTTCTTCCCTTTCCTGGAGAGCAATACTGGTCCAGTTTCTCTTTTCTTGTTTATCCTTAAATCTATTCTAATTAAGCTTCTTCCCTCATCACATCACAGAAACTACTTTTGTCAGGAACTCCAATGACTGCCCTGTTACTAAAGCCACCGATCCATTCTCTGCCCTTTATTTTCGTACCTATCAGAAGGATTTGATAGCAGCTGGTGACTCCTGTCCCTAAGACACTTTCTTCTCAGACTCACTGCCTTTCCTTCAGAGTTTCCTCTGCTGGTTCCTCATTCTCTGACCCCTGAACATGGCAGTGTCCTGGTGTTCATCACCGTCTGCACTCCCTGACCTGACGGTCTCACACAACTTCACAACTTACAGCAACAAGCTGCAGATACCCAGATTTGTATCACCAGGACCCCTTATGTCCTGCTGCCTACTCAACCCCTTCCTTGGACACCTACTAATCATCCTGAATGTAACATCTCCCAAACCAGCTCCTGACTGGGCCCCCTCTAAATTCACTGTGCCCATCTCAGCAACTAGCTTTCCTGGCACTTCGGCCCAGAACCTTGGTGTCACCCCGGTGTCACACTTGCCTCTCTCACGCCCTGTCCCATGTTCCTGTCAGGCATCCCAGTCAGCCCTTTTCTTCCAAGCTTCTCCCCATCTCCACCCTGGCTCCCTAGTCAGTGGCCCTTGTTCTCTTGCCAAGAAGAACGCAGTGATTTCTCCTCTGTTCTCACTGCTCTTGTCCTTGCCTCTTTAGTTCACTTCTAGCATAGCAGCCAGAGAAACCCTAAAGACAGAACACGTATAAATCTTTGTTTTTATACAATACCTTTACTTTATTTATTTATCTTTATGTGGTGCTGAGTATCGAACCCAGGGCCTCACACCTGCTAGGTAAGCGCTCTACCACAGCCCTGCACCAAACTTTTAAGTTCAAAAAAGTCACAAGTCTTTTTGTCACCAGGAAACCAAAGAACTTTGATAGCACAAAAAAAAAAAAAAAAAAATCGTGCTCGTACCTAATCGAAACAGAGAGCTCCCAAACCTCCTCATGCTGAGAATAAAAACTCCTCACGCTGAGGAGGGAGCTAAAACTGACATATTCTCTGGCCTAGCTAGATGTACACAAGTATGTCATTGGCTTTTGTTTCTGTAAATGGGAACTGCTTCTGTGGGACCCATCTAGTTGTTTCTCCCCAGTTTGATCAAACTGCATAAAAATTATTTTACCTTTTTCCATTTTTTGCCTATTTCTCTGCCAGTGGGTGGCCAAGTCTAATCAGGTAGGTTCCTTGGTTTAGCTGTAATAACACTGTCTTCGTACAAAGTGTCTTAGAGCATTTAGAATTTAAATATCTGTATTTGTAAATCAACCACAACTGATGACCTCTTTTAGTATGTAAACTTCAGCACATGGCAGCAGTTGGAAACTGCTGGTCCCATTTCTGAGGTTATGGCAGTTGCTTGTGTGAGGTGTGATTATCTGACTAATCAAGGATGAATAATCAATGAGCAAGGATGACTTTATCAAGTCAGAGTTGTAGATATTTTTGGAACTTACTTTCCCATTATTTTAAATCAAGATGAACATAAGTAGAAACTCCATTATTTCCTCCACGTACTAATAGGTCACCTTGCACAGTCTCTGGGGTGTCTGATTGCTGTTTATAAGAAACTTTTAGAGCCAGCGGGAAAGGGCCGAGATCTGTAGTGGTCTTGTGGGTAGACATCAGTTGGAATAAGACCTTAATCTTGTGTGAAAGACCCACAAGGAGAGCTAGGTAATGAGAGGGAAAGGATGGAGCTGGTCACCTGTCCAGGGAAACAGAGAGTGGGACACGGTGGAGGGAGGGAGGGATTTTTTTTTTTCCTCTTATGGCTGTGGTTAAGTGATTTGCTTCAGAATTCTGAAGCTTTAAATCAGTCAGTCAAGACAACAGTGATATGTTGTCATCCTGACCAATTCCTCTTTTCCTTCCACAGCAGGCTGCTACAGACTCCTGCCAGGCCAAGTTTGGTGAGTAGCCTCCCTTGCATTCCTCCCTTGGACTGGTCTTAGTTTTTGATATAAGACAAAACGATGCTCTCAAGAAAGCCTGTGTTCCCTGAGACACAGGAATTGACTTTTAATTCTGTTTTGATAAGGACAACACGTTTCAGGTTTTTACAAGTGCTTCCCAAAGCACTGCTCACGTTTCAGATATTGCTAATGTCCAGGAGATGACATGGGAGGTTCGTGGAGACAACGCAGCTGGTGTCAAATGTGTAGAAGAGGAATGAATTAAGGCAGTGGCCACTTTCTCTGCTCTTTCCCTTTCTTCACTTAGTTTCTGAGTTACTTTCCCTTATAGTTACCTGATATTTGTTAGAAAATAAAATCACTAAAGTTAATGATTACCTGGAGCATTAGAATATTTCTTAGAATACATACAAAACTTCAAGTAAATACATTTTTGGTGTTTATAGGTTTCAGGTCAAACAAACACCATTCCATTTGAGAGCAGAAGATGAGAATTCACTGCTAACTCTGCAACCCCCGAATTCCCATATCACTCAAATCTCCAGGCTTCCTGGGCTTGCAGAGATTAGAAAATTTCTGTCTATTTGTCCCTGCTTTTCTGTCTTATTTTTGTTTTGTCAGTTAAAGGTATGGAATTCATGCTAAGTTGGAAATTCCTCCTGCATGTGGTAAAAGTTGAGAAACTCTAGTGATCTAAGGAAGTTCTTCAGTGACCCCATTGCTGAATGAATAGGAGAAATAGTGACAGTACTTCCTGCCATTACAGGTCAAGGAGCAAGAGCTTGCTTGGGGCTCAGGGAGGTTGTTTCTTGCTCTAATCACCTCTCTTTCACTCTCCTCCAGAACCTGTCCTCCATGTCTTAATGTTAGTCATTTATACATGAATGAGAACTTAAGTTGAAATGTTAACTCTGCAGGGCTTTGTCTTCTATAACCCAAATTATAGAGAATTAGAGAACAGGCCAGGTAAGCACTTAGGGTTTAAAAGAACCTCCTAGGGCCCTGAAATCACATGGCTGTTCAAAACCAACTAGGAGGTAAATATTTAAATCTCATATGTACCTATGAAAATGTAGATAGGATCTGGAAACCTTTTTTGTCCCTTGGTGACAGTATTAAACAAGGAATACCCATATTTAAACAGTCAAGTAATTTCTATTTATAAACTCATGGATTCACCAGTAGCTGGGGTAGGAGAGCTTAGATAATGATAGCCCATGTAGGTCTTGAATGACACATGCGTACACACTGATGAGAAGAGCCATAATAAAATCATTTGAGCTCAGGAGTCTTGAGTCTAACCTAGGCAAGATAGCAAGACCCTGACTCGAAAAATGAGTGTTGAGAATACAGCAATAAGCAAAATAGAGAAGCACTTGTTCTCAAAGATGTTATATTCAAGTATATGAGACAGACAATATACCAATTAATTTTTAATATGCTACACGCCAACAGCTTCTATGAAGAAGACAAAGTAGGGTAAAGGGAGAGAGTGACAGGAGAGTGTTATTTTATATGGATTAATTAAGGAAGGTGTCATTGGTAAAGCAACACAAAGTAAATAGGATTTACCTGGAGAAAGCATGGATTGCCACTCGAGCTCCCCAGTCCTGGTGTGCAGTTCTCGCTTCCTTCCTCCTTTTGTCTTTCCTTCCATTAACATTAATTGACAAGAGATGCAGGGCCACTTAACTTGTTTTTCTATGCCAAATATATTTCCCTAGAGCTCTCTGAGCAAGAGATATACCTAGGATTTGCAACTTCTTTTAATTTAAAATATTAAAATAATGTTTGAAGAAGACTAGTATAGAGTGTATAAAGAAACAACCTGTGGGTATTAAAGAATTTAATCAAGAAAAGGATAAAATATTGGGGATGGGGTTGTGGCTCAGTGGTTGAGGGCCTGGGTTCGATCCCCACACCACATAAATAAATTAAATAAACAAAATAAAGGTATTATGTCCATCTACAACTAAAAAAAGTTTTTTAAAAAATATAAAAGGATAAAATAATAAAATAAATATGCTTCCTTTTTCCCTCCCTTCTTCCAGGACCATTACCCTCAAAATGGCAAATGGTACCTCCTGAACCTTCTTGCATGAATAAGACATCTGACTGGAAGCTGACAATCCTTAAGAATGGCTTGTATTTGATTTATGGACAAGTGGTTTTTGATACAACTTACAAAGGAGTTGCTCCTTTTGAGGTGCAGCTACGTAAAAACAAGGATGCCGTACAGACTCTAACAAACAACTTTAAAATCCAAACTGTAGGAGGGACTTATGAACTGCACACTGGAGACACAATAGGTTTGATATTTAACAGTGAAGACCAGATTCTAAAAAGTAACACCTACTGGGGGATCGTCTTAGTAGCCAACCTTCAGTTCAACTCCTAGAAATTTGATTTGGTTTCCTCATCCTATCTGGCATATGCAGAGACGGTGGGCGGTTGGAGGGGACAGATCTTCAGTGCCTGTCGTTTGTCAGGGTATACAAATCAAAACAAACTCCTCTACATGTGAGATTTTTTTTTTTCTCTCATGCTCATCTGAAAGTGACTCAAAAAAAGGGCCATAGGTTTTTGGTTACCCATGACACTGGGTCTTCAAAGATACTTCAATAATCCATGACAAAATGAATACAGGTGGCACAGGACAGAAACCCTGAAAGAGATGTTTTTTTTTTTTTCAATCCTTGAATCCCTAGGTGGAAAAATGAGGTCCTATTTCCATGGGAATCTTATCTGGTTTGCTAAAAGGGTGTAGGGTCATGGCCTGTTCTCATTTTTTTGATCTGCTTTATCATTCTTCCCCTACATCCATCTCTGAGAGTCTCCCAATAGAAAGTAGGCAGGTTGGTGGGTTGGCAACAGTTGTAGCAAGAACACCCTACTATAGATGCAGTGTTTCTAGAAGTTACAGAACACTCTTGAGACTACTGGGACTATACGAGTACATGAAATGGATAGTACTGTTTATGGGAATTTCCCTTTGTTTCATCATACTCAGAATACAGGGTTCTTTACAAAACCAATTGGTCAAGGAGGTCTTTCTGAACCTTCACCTAGAGCTTCAATGTTTATGTGTCTAAATAATGTCAATTGTAAATTAAGACTCACCATTAGAAGACTCACCGTTAGTAATCAATAGATTTAATACCAGAAATTGGTATTTCTGTTGTTATATTATGTTAAGTAATGATTTCATATTTTGAGCTAGTTTTCCTCAGTTTGCAAAATGCTTTCATATACCACATGGCAACTCTATGAAGTTAATGGAGCAAGTATTTTTGGCAAAATTTTAACAGAATGTAGAAGCAGATGCAACCTAGGTATCCTGCCTTGACTCAACTAGAGATGAATTACTTGGGCTTTTCACTGTAACAGATGTTTTAGCTTCAGAACTCAAACAGTGTGAAACAGTGGAAAAAATTTTCTAAAAATAAAACTTTCTAAAAAAAATTTTAGATTCTATTAAAGCTTACTGCTTATAGGTTCTTGTCAAAAGATATGTAACACTGCATTTTAAGACAATTTAAATATTTATGGATATTTGTGAAAAAGCTAAATTCTGCTATCACATTATACATCTATAAAAATAATTTTCAGAAGATATTTTCCCTTCAGCACGGGGTAAAGTGAAGCTTCCATGGACCTCTCTTTTACCAGCAAACTGACTCCCTTCCTTGCCTGGAGCAGGGAATCCTGTGGTTCTGCTTGGGGCTCACTCCCTCCAAGTTCACCTCCTTCCTTCAAAGAGTCCATGTCGGTCAAATGTGCTAACTTCTAAAAATAATAAATAGCACTGAATTTAAAATTTTTAAACTCTGTAAAAGTTTGCTGCTTTTATAAGTCTTGTTGAAAAAAATATGTAACACTGCATTTTAAAAGTTTAAATATTTATGGATATTTGTGAAAAGCTAAATTATGTTAATTAATGTTATTACATGTAAAGCTAATTTAAGTATATTTGTAATTGTGTGCCATAAACTTCTCTTGGGGCAGGCTAAGCTATTTCTTCTTATTTTAAATTAATATCTGCTGAGCAGCTGTGAGACCAAATACTTGGAAACAAAGGCCTTTGTATTGCATATTTTCTCAGGAAATTAAAGGTTTATCACATATATTTGTAGAAACTTTATATCAATTATCAATTTCTGGTATATTATAAGCAGTAGTGTACTGGAGTGGGCTGGCACCAGCTCATGAGAGCTTATTTTAAAATTTTCAGGACCTTTGCACTCTGGTTATTAAGTATGGCTATTTCTGAATTGGCTATGGTGGTAGTATTTACACTACAGGATCCAAAAACTCTTCTCTGTCCCTGCCTCAGTCCTAGATCAATCAAGGAAGGCAAGGAGAGAGTGGAATTGTTGCACTTTCTAGCAAAAACTCAAAGCAACAGTGATTTCTCACAGAAAACAGGTTTCTTCACTTCAGGCAGAAGGATGGCTACCAACAGATGATTTCTTAATTTTCTTGGTGTTTTCATTTCAGCCTTTGTTTTTAATGTCTTCTATTTTCCTCATCTGCATTTTAAAACTAGAATCAAATGCATAATAGTATCTGGACTGCAGCTGATTGATACTTGGATAATTAGAGTTAGTGATCTAAAAAACATAGAGTTACATCAGGGAAATCCTTGCCCATGTAAGACTTCTTGGCAAGTTATAGGCAAAAGTGAAAGCTAGGTGTAATTAGATTGGGTTACAGTTTGTTCCCATTCCTGATGAGTTAGTCAGGCACCTTCATTCTCTGACTTCCTCCCACCTCAGCCACTCCACCCTGCTTACCACGGAAGCCAGTCCTGACCCATCTCACACTAATTGTTCTTTTGCCTTCCATCTTGCCTCATTCAAAGCTGGCCCACGGTGTGTTATAGTACTGTGGATTAAGCCTCTGCTTCTGAAAATGGCAATGGATTAAAAAGTGAAAGTCTTGTACATTTGTTAGAGCAAACTCCTTAGGTGAAGTCTATCTGCATCTTGGAAATAAAATTGCTGCCTTGCTCTGTCCCACTGAGGGAATTCCATTTAGGAAATTCAATGGGAGCACATTTTTTTTTATTAGAGAAGAGAAGTAAACAAGATTGACTGATAGGTCAGCAGTTTGAGAATTCCTCTTCACACAGAAGCTGTAAATGATGCCTGGCACATACTCGTTGCTTGCTCTGAAAGAATACGCATTCTATAACTCTAGGAGTCTCCTGTGAGTTGCATATCTACTCATGGGAGACTGGAAAACATGCTTTGCCCACACAAGCTCAAAGAGCTTCTGCCCAACTCATTGTAGAAACAGCCTCCTGTCTCCACTAGTGACCACTGGCTTTTCTCCTCCAGAGAAACAGATTTCTGGGGAAAGATTGTAGCCCACTGTCAGTTTTTGCTTTCTTGGGTAGGAGTCAGGTACCAATTCTTTGTATATATGAATCAATAAACGTATTTCAAAGTTCTCTAAGAAGTTCCCTTTTGTCCTTAAGAGATGTGAATTTAGAAAGTTCCATTGCTGCCAAGGTAGTGGATGAAGATTCACAACATAAGCACAGTTATCTACAAATGCTGTCATCAAGCTCTGCTTTTCCACATTATGGCTGTAAAAGTGTCTAAAAGTGGGAATTGGAGGAGATTACTTTGATCCCTTTTATAAATTCTGTATATTTCAGAGTATATTGTCTTAATTTCACTTTGGTATGAAGATACTAATCATATTGTGCCAGTTAAAGCTGAGTCAGAAAAATCCTACTTTAACATTTAGTTTTACCCTTGTGTCTAAAAGGGACATGGGGATTAAAGCAACTTCCTTTTCTTTCCAATATCCCAATGAGAATGGGAATCTCTGAGTTCATCTGTTGAAGGTGATTGTTCCCACCTGGTTTCGTGGTTGTCTGGGGGATATTGCAGTCACAGTAAATCCCTGTTCTAGAGCCTCAACACAGAGTCTGAGTTGGATCCTTCATTCATAGGTGAACTTGACAGTCTTAGTTCTTGGAGTGGAAGACACAAAGAAATTCTTATCTTCCCTCCTTGCCTTTTGGTTGTACTGCCTGACTGAACATCTAGTCTCTGAAAGGAATCTGATAACATAGAATCCAGGGTCTAATAGTGCCTAGCTCAGAGTCCTTCTAGTTTGTTGAGTGAACAAATAAAGAATCATAAATTTGAGTATTAGTGTTAACATAGTGTTATCTTGTGCACTCAGGATAACAGAATCTAAAGAGGAAATCTCTGATCTTTTCTTTACTCACTATTTCCTATCCCATCACCTACTATTCTCAATTGGTCTCTTTCTTCATCAAAACCTATTCCCAAGGACATTTTTAATGTAGTCAATGAAAGAAAACTTACAAGCTCCTTGCACTGAAGGAAAGTGGCTACCCTATATTACCTTACTAAACCATGACAAATCCTATCTGTTTTAAGCTCATTGGACAGATATACAAAGAAGCTACTGTCTTTATGATATCCTAAGGCAAACACTTTATTCAGTGGTCAATGGCAGAGTTTCAAAGTGAAGTCCACGGTTCTGCATCAGATTCACCCAAGATACTTGGAGAAAAAAAAAAGGTGAGGGCTGGGGTTGTGGCTCAGCGGTAGAGCACTGGCCTAGCAAGTGCGAGGCTCTAGGTTCGAGCCTCAGCACCACATATACATAAATAAATAAAAAGAAAGGTATTGTGTCCGACTAGAACTAAAAACTAAATAAATAAATAAAAGTGATTCCTAGGATTCATCCGTAGTCCACTTAATAAATATTTCCAGTAGGGAGGCATGAAAACCAAATTTTTAACAGCTTTGACCCATAGATTATTTTTATGAACACAATTTAAGAGCTGTGGCTTTATGGATTCAACTGAATCTTAGCTGAACATTTCTCCAAGTATTTAAAGAGTCAGAGCTCCTAAACAAGTAAGCAAAACATAACCAAAAGCCCACAGTTGGTGCTGCCCACGAGACTTCGATCACCTATCTCTCTTCACAAAAGCAAATGGCCTTCTAGCTTCTTTGTGAGTCTGAATAAAAATCAGGTCCTTCAATTTTCATAACCTAATGGCAAATTTGCCACTTGAACATTGGCAATCTACAGCATGTGATCCTCACCATAATCAACATCACATTATCTATCCATATACTGTTAACTCCCAAATATTTCTCTCTAACCCAAGTTGCTTGTTTTTGCTTCAGAGTGGTAAATCCAACTGACTACTCAAGAATTTCACATGGAGGAATAATAGATATCTCAAACTCCATATGTCCAAAATGGATCTCTTAATGCAGGTCAAATGAAACCCTCCTCATTTCCATTGTATTGCTTGAGCCCCCAACCTCTGGGTCATGGAATCATTCTTTATATTCTTCTCTTTTATCCATCTAATCTGTTAGGAAATCATATTGCTTAGATTTTTAAAGAGAATCTGACTTCTTTTCTGCTATAGCTCCTGTCTATCATAAAAATTATTTCAATAGTATCATAACTGGTTACTCTGCCTCTACCTTTGTAGCTCAGCAAACTTACTTTTGAATCCCAGTTTTACAATGAATCATGGATCATGGATCTTGGATCTTGGACAAATATTTTTCCCTTTCTGAGGCTCATTCTCATGTTTGTTTTGTTTACCGTTGTTTATTGAGTGTATGACACATAAGTTGGGGTTAAATAAATTAACATTTACTAGAGGAATATGTTTAAACTATGCTAAAAATACCAGCAATTATATGTAAAGTTCCTGATACATTGTAGACACTAAGTAGATGACTGCCATTCTTTTTACGTTTATTAACGACTTGGGTTCATTTTCAAGTTTTTGAGCTTTGTCAATTCCCAAGTTAAGAGATATTTATTTAACATCTATCTCTTATTCTCTGTCCTTCCCAGGAACAAATAAATCTCAAAATAATAAGCAGAAAACAAAAACACTTAGCTGTTGAGAAATTTAGAGTGTTCTAATTTGGAGTTCTTTTTAAATAAAGTTGCTATAAACAGTATCAAGAATACAAATAATGGGCTGGGGTTGTGGTTCAGTGGTAGGGCATTTGTCTAGCATATGTGAGGCACTCTGGGTTTGATCATTAGTACCATATAAAAAATAAATAAAGTTATTTAAAAAAAGAATACAAGTAACAATAAATGTTGGCGAGGATGTGGGGAAAAGGGTAAACTCAAACACTGTTGTTAAGACTGCAAATTGGTGCAACCATTCTGGAAAGCAGTATGGAGATTTCTTAAAAAACTAAGAATGGAACTGCCATTTGGCCCAGCTGTTCCACTACTCAGTATACATCCAAAGGATTTTAAATCATCATACTGCAGTGATATAGCCGCATCAATGTTTATAGTGGCACAGTTCGCAATAGCTAATCTATGGAGCCAACCTAGGCGCCCTTCAACAGATGAATGGATAAAAAATATTGTGATACACACACACACATACACACACACACACAGTATTACTCAGCCATTAAGAAGAATGACTTTTGCCAGTAAATGGATGAATCTGGAGACTATAATGCTAAGTGAAATAGACCAAACCCAAGAAACCAAAGGTCAAATGTTTTCACTGATATGTGGAAGCTAACCCACAATAAGGGGTGGGAGGAGACATTCAATAGATTGGACAAAGGGGAATAGAGGGAAGGATAGGAAAAGAAAAGACAATGAAATGAATCTGACATAATTTCCTGTGTACATATATAAAAACACCACAGTGAATCCCACTGTCATGTATATCCTCAAGAATGAGAATCTAAACTAGAATAAGATTGCATGCTTATATAATTATATCAAAAGGATTCTACAGTCACATATAACCAAAAAGAACCAATTTTAAAAAAGACACAAACACAAATAAGCAGTCCCTTCTCTTACTTCAGACTGTTTCTTCTCTTAGAAACTTAAATTCACTCTGGCCTCCAGCTGCTATGGCTCTATTTTAGGAGGTTTATGCCACAGTTTTAAAATTGTCTTGGTTATATGCCAAATCTCTCTTCTTTATATGCTTTTGGATACATGCCCTTTTTGGATACATGCCCTTCTTCATTGACATATCTGGGCGAGATGCTATTGCAGTGTAAGGTATTTCTTTTTGATAGTTTCTCATCTCTGTTGATCCACTCATTCTCAGTCTTCCAATTACAATATATTGAATTCCATCTGACTCCAAGGTTTTTTAAATCTCCGTTCTCCAAAATATAGGGATTATGACTTCATTTTATTAGTAATTTATGTAACAATCATGTGCATTTTAAAATCCACAATAGCACACAAAGAAACTGAAGTTAGAGGAATTAAATAAAGTACTCAAGGTAAGACATCTTCCAAGTGGCAGGGAATTGCTTAAAACCAGATCTAGCTGATGTTAAAACATATGTATTTAGTTAGTGGTACACAATGCCTGCTTATAACTTCTATGTAAGGTGTAGCAGGTTTCTAGAGCCCCATTGTCCAAGGTAAACCTTAGTGCCAGCTTACCCAACACAGTACTTAGTAGAGCTGGATTAGAAGAATAGTTTCTGACTGCTAGTTCAGTGATTTCTCTGTGTCCTGACATTCTCCACTGTTGGGACTGAGTAGAGAAAGCAAACATTGGCCTACATTTTATATGACATTTTAAAGGATCAGAATAAGCTTTAGAAGTGTGGAAGGCTATAGCATCACTACATCTAGTCTTAGAAAAATACTGGGCTCTCATCCTTTATTTCCTGCCTTCCTTCACATGGAGTGAAATAATTGATAGGTTCCATGAAAGGTTTTGATGATGCAGTCCTAAAGCTTTTAGGCAGATGGCATTATCAGTGGTTCCCTTTCCACAGTAGTTAGTGCACCCTCCCTCTCATTTTTCACTTCCGCTTTCACAAAGAAAATAAGAGGTTTATAGAAAAACTGAGTAAAGGAAAATTTTTGCGGAAATTGTTATTAAGAATTTTCTCTGGAGCTTTTAAAAAATTCAAGATTTATTAGGAAATACAATTTAATCTACTGACACCTTTTAGTTCTATTAATTTTGTCTCACTTTCTTTTAGCTTTTTACTATTTCAATGACAGGTATTCAGTCTTTGCTGATATTTGCTTCTCTTAACAGTGATCTATACAGAATAAGTCTAAGTTCTTTCTCATGTAATAGTCCTTCTGTGTTTGAAGAGTGCTAGCATGAATCACTGAATGTCTCCACAGCTGTGACAATATGGTGCCAATGAAAGAGCAGAAGTGGAGGATCAATGATCTGGTTTTGCACCTGTTAACCATGCTACTTTCTCCAAGCACTTTCGCCTCTCAATTTCACATTGCCATTCATAAAAATGCACATAATAGTATTTATATCATAGATAATTACAGGGGTCAGAATCAATATCAAGTGTCAGAGTACTGCATACTATAAATTTGATATGTAAATGTGATCATGGCTGCCCTGATCCTGTTCACAGTCCAGTTTTATTCAAACTGGAATAAAACACTTTAGAATG